CCTGGTGGCGTTTGTCAGAGGAACAGAGCTTAGAGGCAACAGGCAAACTGTTTGGCGTGAGGCAGCTGATAAACAAACAGGGAAGCAAATTCAGGCCAGAGCTAGGGAAAGCCCCTCAGTCTCCTTTATTTGTTCTCTTTCTGAAGCACTGACTGGAAATAAAAGTCTGTTGGTATTGGCTGGAGGCAGAGGTCCCCACTTTATCCCCTTTGGAATCTGCCAGAGGGCAGGTCTGGGTTGTGAACTTGGTTAATATTCAGGCTGTCCCAACAGCCAAGTTGCCAGTCTCACACTAGCCAGCAGTATTCCAGGGCAGCCTGCAGGCCTGATGGAAAGATAATAGCCTAAACTCTTCACCTTTGGCAGAGCCCACCCAGGCCCCAAAAGAGGTACATCCCTATAAGCTGCCACATGGAGTCCCATGTAGTCGTCAGTCAGATGCCAGGCTTGGTCTGTCTCATCGTTCCCGCCTTCGCTGCTCCTAGTGCCCCCCATAAGCACCCTGTTAGCAGAGGATAAGGCTCCCTTGTTCCTATTTCATACCTTTGGGCTATGGGTGGAGAATCAGTGTGTCCTGTTCTGTCCAACCCCTGACCCCAGGTCCCAAGAAAGACAGCACAAGGCTAGTGCCTCCAGAGGCCCAGGCCCTTTGTTGGACGTTCTATCATGGTGAAGGGCATAGCTGCCTGCAGCTCCACCCATGAGTTCCGAGAGGAAGGAAACTACCTTATACACCTATACACATAGGCAGACGCACCCACACAGTTCCCAACTCAGACACCAGGTTCCCGCCTCCTGGCATTCTCTAAAAGGGCTTTCCACAGCAGAACATGCCATCCTTGGGTCCCTGGCTGACCCATCTTCCCTGTGAAAGGGTCAGGGGGTTGGTTCTGGTGGGCTTCTCTGTCCCAGAGGGTATGCCCATCAGGAGATCCCTTCAGAGGTATAAAGCAGAGACAATCTGAGGGTGGTCCCTCTACCTGTATGGTGCCAGAGAGATGCAGAGAACTTACTCAGGGCCCCTGGGCTTGATCTTGTTGGGGAGCTGAGGCCATTTCTCTCCCTGGCACAGTAGATTCAGACCTGTGTCCTATTCTCTGGGACCTAGAATTCCACCCTGGGAAAGGGGCTTTGCCTCCAGCAAGTCTCATCACCCATTATACTGGCTGCAACCTGGACCTTAGAACAGCTCCCACAATGCCCATGGTGCCCAGCCAGAGGTGATGAGGTCTTGCCCTTTCCACTCCTCATCCACCCATCTATGATGCCCATTTTGCTGTTGCTATGGGATATAGCATGGCACATGATCTCATCGAATCCTCCCAACTTGGATAAGCTGGACATTCTTATGATTCTCATTTTTAACAACTGTAATAAAATTCTCATTTTTAACAACTGTAATAAAATTCAAAAACATAAAATATACCATCTCAACGATTTTTAAGTGTACAGTTCAGTAGAGTTAAATATATTCACATTATCATGCAACCAATCTCCAGAACTCTTTTCATCTTGCAAATTGAAACTCTATATCTATTAAATAACTCCCTGTTTCTCTCTCCTCCCAGCCCTTGGCAACTACCATTCTACTTTCTGTTTCTATGAGCTTGACTACTCTTCATATCTCATATAAGTGAAATCATACAGTTTCTGTCTTTTTTTTTTTTTTTTTTTTTTTTGGTTAGGGATCCTCAGGCAACTGTAGATCAGTGCATATGGTACATCATTACCAGCCTGATTTTAAAGGAGTTTTAGAGCTTTAAATTTCAAATCACAGTTGGTGCTGATATGCATTTTACTGTTATTGTCTTCCCTTTGTCAAATAAATATAATTGATGATTTTAGTGTATTTTGAAATTTCAATGTAGTCTGTATTTAACTTTGACATTCTCTTTTTGCATCATCTTCATTTATTCCCACGTCCAATTTGTGTGGGTCATTGTTAAACATTTAAATTGAACAATTCTTAAAATCATTTTAATGTTTTATTCGCTTAGTCTCATGTTGCACTGTCCAACCTGATGCCTTTTTTTTTTCTTTTTTGCGGTACGCGGACCTCTCACTGTTATGGCCTCTCCCATTGCGGAGCACAGGCTCCGGATGCACAGGCTCAGCGCCCACGGCTCACGGGCCCAGCCGCTCCACGGCATGTGGGATCTTCCCAGACCGGGGCATGAACCCGTGTCCCCTGCATCAGCAGGCGGACTCTCAACCACTGCGCCACCAGGGAAGCCCCAGTTTCTGTCTTTTTGTGTCTGGCTTATTTCACCTGGCAAAATGTTCTCAAGCTTCATTCATGTTGTAGCATTGTGTCAGCATTTCCTTCCTTTTTAAGGCTGAATACTATTCCACTGTATGTATATACCACATTTTATTTATCCATTCATCTGTTGCTGGACATTTGAGTTGCTTTTACCTCTTTGGCTATTGTGAATAATACTGCCACGAACATGGGTATACAAATATTTCAAGATCCTGCTTTCAATTCTTTTGAATATACACCCAGAAGTGATATTGCTGGATCATATGATAATTCTATTTTTAATTTATTGAGTCTGCCACACTGTTTTCTGTGGTGGCTGCACCATTTTACATTTTGTGCATGAGGGTTCCAACTTCTCCACATCTTTGTTATTTTTCTGTTTTGTTTTTAATAGCAGCCAACCTAATGGATGTGAGGTGACATCTCATTGTGGTTTTGATTTACATTTCCTTAATGATTAATGATGTTGAGCATCTTTTCATTTGCTTGTGTCCCCTTTTATAGATAAGGAAATTGATGCATTGATTGAGCAGTGATGCAACCTGTTTAAGTCAGCCCAGTGCTTGGGGGTGGGGTCAGAACAGACCCACCTGTCTGACTCCAGAGCTCCTCCTTGTGCCACCACCTTTCTAGGCAGAACCACCGCCCCCCTACTCACTTTCATGCTTCTCCCCTCCTTCCTCCCAACCACTAGTGCTCCTTTGCCTTTTATTTTACTCCCAGCACCCAAAAAGGTAGCAAGGAAGGGAAAGGCTGCTGAAAAAAGCAAATCCTGGTGCATGTGTGTGAGTGTGTGATGATGTGCATCCCCAGAGGTGTCCACAGGCCCTTGTGAGCAGGGTACAACAGGGATAGCTATGGACTTGTAAGCCAGCAGCTACCTACCCCTCACACCCTGAGGTGAACAAAACCAGTAAAGAAGGGGAAAGAGACAGGTCAACCCAGCTGTCAAGGAGGGCTGCAGCCAGTAGGGCCAGCTCCAGCTCAGGTGCTGACCACACTTCCAGGAACTGAGGTGGGGTGAGCTTGCCCTTACTTTTGGATCCCTCAGGATCAGGCTGTGGACAGAGGATGGGTAAGCACTAGGAGCCCCTGCTAGGGGATCAAAGCCAGAGAAGCACGGCCACCTCAGGGCCCAAGGTAGGCATGGAACCAATGCTGGGGGAATCCAGAGGTGCTCCATAGGCTGAGCCCACTTTCTACAGGTCTTATAGACTTAAGAGCCACCACTCCCAGCTGGCCACCCATCTCTTGCCAAGGCAACTTCCACAGCTTCCTCACTGGTCTTCTTGATTTTCATAGCAGCTTGAGACAGTTCTTTCTAAAACCACAAATCTGACCATGTTACCCCTTCCTTGGAACCCTTACTATTTCCTCGCTGTCCTCAGAATATACTCAACTCTTCAACATTCCTACAAGGCTCACTGTGGACAGGCCCCTGTAGGCATTTCTAGCCTCACCTGCCATCTGTTGAACTCCAAGCCACCCTGATCTATGAAATCTCATTCCCAGAGTCTTCCATGTTCTTTGCCTGGACAAGTCCTGCTCATATTTCCAGACTCAGTTCAAATTTATCATCCCTTCTTAGAGTAGTTCCTCCCACAGAGAAGGCCGTTTTTTTGCCCCAGGTCACACAACAAGCCAGCCAGTATTTGAATTCAGGTTCCAAAACCCTGTTATTAACCAGGTTTGATGTTAGCTCTCTCTAACACAGCCAGTGTCCCCGTGGGTATCTGAGCTTCAAAAGCAGACCCTACACCCCAGATGTGTATAGCCTGGTGTTCAGCACAAGGCCAGACATGGTGTCTAATTATTGCCACATTGTGCTGGGGAAGGGGATAAAAGACTAGCAGAGGCCATGCTCAGGTTTTCACATAGCGCTGAGGATGGGCCAGAAACTGGGAATCCTACCTGCCTGATTAATAGCAGGAAACTAGTCTGTGAGGATACGCTCCTCAGAAGGAGATGTGCCCTGACGTAGCATCTCCTGGCCCTTACCAGATGCAGAGGACAAAGTACGTGTGTATTCTGACTGCTGAAACTTAGAAATCCTGCCACCAAACCACTTAGGATGCTAAGGGGCTAATGGCATAAGCTGGAGCCTCTGTCCACCACTGGGCCCTATGCTCAGACGGTCTCTGTGAGTCTGTCCCTTCATGAATGCCTCCTCTAGTTCCCTGTACTCCACCAGTATCAGGAGGCCTTCTGCTCCTTTTCAGAGAAACTGGAAGCTCAGGACAGGACCCAAGCCTTACCATAGTTGTATGGCAGAGCAGGAGACCCCATGATGCTTCCAGAAGCCTGTGGCCAGGGAACAGACCACACCTGCCCATGCCCTGTCCAGCAGCAAGACTCTTCTTTGTGTCTACACGTGGCTCAGCAGCATCCCCCATACCCCCTCCTCATGCCTACTGGCAGGAACTTGACTCAGGCTGTCCATCTGGGGAGCCTCGGGTTGGTGGTATCTAGGCTCTTGGGAAACAACTTCATCTTTGTGAAACTGCCAGAGGAAAAGGCAGTTGACAACTGCTTCCCATCTCCCTTCTTCATCCCCTCCCTACGAGACAAACCTATGGGGAATGAGCCTGAGTCCTGCTCTCTTGGGCTACACGCCTGTGTTGGAAGTATAACCCAGGTGACTGCTGGCCAGGTTTGATGAGTGGGGGACGCTGACCCAGGCACTGCCAGGGTGTCTCGAGGGGGACTGATGCAGATACTGGGTCGCTCACATACCCACCTCGGTCACGATGGTGGACAGGTAGATGTCCTGGTTGAACTCCCAGCCATCCAGGCAGCCCTCTTGCTCCAGCTGCTCCAGGTCCACGTCGCGCCCCGGCTCCAGCCCGAGCGCCGAGAAGTTGACGATCGTCGCGAGCCTGTAGCGGCGGCAGCTGTGAGGCACCTCGCGGCCGTCCTGCAGCTGCAGCGGGAGGCTGTGGTTGCGCCACACGCTGCTCAGGTTCGCTGTGTCCGGCACCCGACAGTGGTGCTCCGGGGTCCCCGCCAGGAACACGACTGACATACCATTGAAGCCGTTGGGGATGATGCTGGCGCTGAGCAGGAAGAAGATGAGGCGCTGGAAGAGCCCCCACTCGCCCAGGAAGGCGGTCACCTCGTCGTAGTCCTGCATGCTCCCCGCCGCTGCTCTGCAGTTGGCAACGAGGGATGATAAGAGCGTTCCCCGGACAGTGTCGCGCGGTGGAAGGCGTTCCCCGGGGGCGTCAGAACGTTCTCGCGGGCCAGGCCGGCTGAGGGAAAGCGAGGCGCGCGGCCTGCACCGTTCCCAGGAAACGGGCTGAGGGCGTTGGAAGGTTCCTGGGAGCTGGACGCAAAGCTGGAAGCCACGGTAGAAACTCGGGACCACACCCCGATCCCGGTTGGGGCGGGGCAGGGCAAGGCAGCGGGCTGGATGGGGTGGGGCTCCGGGGCGGCTCCGCCCGTGCTCTGCTCCTCGCCCCCGGCCAACCCGCCAGACACCCCGCTGAGGCTAGGACGTCAGCGGTGCCGCCTCCGTACAGAAAATAGGCCCAGTTCCCGCGCCCCATCCCCGGCCCCCGCGCCCCCTAGGTGCTGAGCGCCCAGCCACGGGCTGCCGGGTAGGGCCTCACGGGCGAGCGGGCGAATGGGAAGAGTCGAGGCCGCAGAGCAAGGTCTTTGAGAGGTCGGGCCTCGACCCTGTCTGTCGGCGTCGCCACAGACCTCGTCCCAGGCAGGGGTCCTCTGCCGCTTCCAGGCCGAAGGGGGCCTCGGGCGGGGCGCTGACGGGCGAGTGCGTGGGGCCTGTGCTCTGCTGGCGCAGGGGCGACAGGAGAGCGCCCTCTCCTCTGGCCCGCCGCAGCGCAAGTGGCCGGCGCCCACCCGGCGCTCATCAACCCCCAAGCTGGATTCAGTCACCTGCCGGCGGCTTCGGGACAGCCCGGAAAAGGGGGAAACAGGGATGATCAAGATCGCGGTGCGTCAGAGACAAGCTCGGACTGAGGGGAGGTGGGGAGCAAGGACTACCGGGTCGTCCCAGGATCCTTTTGGGTCCTCTGGAGAACATACTACACGGAGCTTGGTCCTTTGTGAGAGCACGGTAATGGAGACCCAGCTGTCACCACTCCTGGGTTCTGATTTTGATCCTCTGGGGCTCTTCATGAGGCTGGCTGCCAGAGTCTTCTTGGACTGGAGGCCTCAAGTTTGCAGAAGGGGCACCCCATGGTCCGGTAACAGAGGGAGGGAGGAAGGGAGGAGGTGAAGGTCCAGTTTGCCGCCCATTTCTGGCAGGGTAACCAGAGCAGGGACCAGTCTGCTCGTGTCCAGGCTTAAGGCCCCTCTGCTGTTGTGTGAGCTAGCCTGGGCCTGCAGTGGGAGTCCTGGGGGTCCTGAGGCAGATGTGATTGACAGGCTGAAGGGCCCATCTCTTTGGAGATTTTGTACAAGTGTGTTTGCTTCTCCAGGCCCTGGTTAAGAGGTGGGAGACGTTTCTGCCTCATTTTTTGTAGCCTCCAGTCTACAGGGAGAGGGGCTTCCTACCCCCTTGGAACCTCAGTTTCCTTATGTGTAATAAGACCATATGTCTAGATGTACCAGGACAGCTGTGATTTATGCCTATTAGTCCAGTAGAATTGTTAATGGCGTTTCCCTTTCCTTTCACAAGAATCCTTCTTTGAACAATATTTCCTGTGGTCATTGTCTTACGTAGCTTAGATTTCAGCCTCTCCTGTCCCCCAATAAAAAATCAAAGCCTGAGATAAGAATTTATGTGGAGATCATTTATTTATAGTAGTGATCCCAAGCAAGGGAGTGAAGGACTAGGGAGAGTGAACAGGGAAGGAGGTAAGGCCGACACAAGACTGTGTAACTGAGCTGGTCATTGGCACTGACCAGGATCAGTGACAGTGATGTGCTGTGACATTAGAGCTTGAGACCAAAGGAAAAAATTAGTAATAACTGATCGTATCTTAAAATTTTGATGTTTTGTTCATCATGGATTTTTATATTGGTTTTGATTTTTAAAAATACTATGTTAAAATATTATTTATCTTGATTATTGAATTTCTTGGCACCCCCTTAAATTTTGCACCTGAGGCAAGTGCCTCACTCTTTTTACTTGCCTTAGCTTTTTCCCAGCCCTAATTGCTGGGGGTAATTGGGATTTGATCCAGCTGGGACCTTCTAAAGAGCCTTAGAGAATGAAGAGGCAATTGTTTACTAGTTCTGGCTCCACTGGTCGACTCCCCTGCACTTTCAGGGTGTACATGTGTGAGAGCCAGCAGGTACCACTTCACAAAACTGTTTGCCATAGCCCATGAGTATATGTAAGCCTATACCTTGAGTCACTTTGCCTGCCATACAAAATGAATGCCCAAGTACACTGCTTATAGCTGGACCATTGGGAGGATTTCCCTTCACCATTGTCCTTTAGGGCCACTCCTAAGTGGGGCTATGTTGCAGTAAACAATCCATTTTTTGGCTGATAGCACCTGTGAGACAGGGCTGAGTATTTTTTTCCCTCTATCAGTTGGTTATAGAGAACCACCCCCATAAGACCATAGGTTTGAGTTGAGGGAGAAGTGTTGGTATAGCTGAGGTATAGGTGTCATGGAGTCTGAGCCACCTGTTCATTAACTTACCTGAACTGTATGGACCTGCTCAATCCTGATCCTGACTCTACCATTTCTATTATATAATGGATTGCTTATGTGCCTGCTTAATCTTATGACTTGATAGAATTTGACAATAACTAACTCTTACTGGATATTTCTAGTTGCATAGACCCTTGATGTCCCATTGTCAGGTATAGCCAAATAGCTGCTTTTCAAAAGGCAAATAGCTCCCTGCTACAGAAGGCATGACCTTGCTCTGACACCCTAGAGATTTTACTGAAACTCTTTTATTATGGCTTATCAGAGACTCTACCCAGCATCCTTATCACCATGAACATCTCTAGCAACATTGATTCTGCTGGGTCATGTGGACCAAATGGCAGGGAACCTTGTTCTATAGTTGGACACATTGTAGAGCTCTCTCTTGCTCTGGGCTTCACTCAAAGGTGGGAGCCTTCCAAGGCATCCATTAAATGGGTTAGAGTAGTATTCTCACCAAGCACTGTGTCTTTTTATTAGTGGTAGAGGGTACAGGGTACAACAACTTGCCTTTACCTTACAGAGGATGGCCTGGCATGCTTCAGACTACTGGATCCCTAATAACTTCACCAGTTGGCTTCAAAATAATATGGAATGAAAGAAGTGGGTGAGGATATAGATGAAATAAGATTGGCCAAAATATTGGTCCTAGGGGTTCATTTTACTACTTTGTCAACTTTTATATACATTTAACTCACTCTGGAACAAAAATGTAAAAAAACCTTCACCAGCATGGAAGGCCCTCAATCATACTTTTTATCTCCCATCTTCTGGTATGAATGTGTCTTACTAGGACATCTGCTCACTAGGTTATGGAATATCAAGACAAAGTCACTAAATACTATATTGTGACAGAGAGCCGGAGAATTAACATAACCTAAGGGCAAGACAGTGATATGTACTGCTATTCATCCCACATAAAAACAAACAGCTTTTGATCCTCCATACCGAGGGATATAAAGAAGAAAACCTTTGATGTTGGTGCTAATCTCTTTAATTCCTCCAAGGAGGTGGTTTTACTTCTGACGTAATAAATTGGTCAAAAATGTGGGTGTGTTAGAGGCTTCTGTTTGGTCCTTCCTACCATAATTGCTCTTATTTAATAGGACAGGGAGTAAATATTAGGGTCTTGCCAGCTGCTAAGTGTATCTCTCCTAGTTATGCACTTAGGGACCAGGGAACTACTAAAGATCCAGTGTGGATCTTTAAATCCACTAGACTTGCTTACAGGAGAACTCCATTTACCACCTGGCTTTCATGAGCCTCCAGTATAACTGGGGGACCCTAATGATGCTTCCTGTCCATTAGTATCAGGGCCAGCTCATACTCTGTATCCAACAGCTCTGGGTCTTTCCCTTTCCTCAGGCCAGAGTTACTCGGGTTAAAGGCCACTGCTATGGACTGAATTGCGTCCCCCACCCCCACCCCACCCCACCCGCCAAATTCATATGTTAAAGCCCTAACCTCCAGTGTGGAAGTATGGTTGGAGATGAGGCCTTTGGGAAATAATTAGGTTTAGATAAGATCATGAGGGTGGGGTTTTCATGATGGGATAGTGCCCTTATGAGAAGGGACACCAGAGAGATATCTACAAGCCAGGAAAAAGACTCTCACAGGAACTGAATTGGCCAGCACTTGATCTTGGACTTTCCAGCCTTCAGAATTGTGAGAAATAAATTTCTATTGTTTAAGCCACCCCAGTCTGTGGTATTTTGTTATGGCAGCCTGAGTAGTCTGAGATAGCCCACAGATCCCTTACAGGGAAAGATTGGGGAAGTAATTATCATAAATACTTTTAGCAGTATAGGAGGGTTCTTCCTTAAAGAGACTTGGACTCCTTTTCAGTTAATAGGCTCTGAGCTTGTGAACTGGCCTGGATCTGGGAAATTTATGAGGAAACACTATTTTCCATTGTAGCAGTTGTCATCAGCCTTCTGATCACTAGCTCTTCCTTTTGGGGGTGAGGTTGTTATATAAGTCAAGTAATAGTCATCTGCCCATTTATTTAACTCCTAGGAAAAGCATGGTGTATTAGCCATCACCACAGATCCCATGGGTTGAAGCCCTCTGGTTGCCCCTTTGGTCTGTAATTACATCCACCCTGCCTCTGTTGTTTAAGTGTCACCATCCTGCCTCTGCTATTCTAGAATCCTACCATCCCCACTAACACTAGAGATCCACACCTGTGCATTTTGTATTGCCTTAGTGAAGGGGGTGTCTGATGAACTTGGCTTGGGAATATAATCCAGTGATAGGTTCTCTGGTCTTGCGTGTTAAAAACAATCTAACATTCTCACTCCCCTGGGCCTTCTGACTCTTTTGAAACTGTCAAGAAAGCTGTGGCATTTCCACCTCATTTCCATAGGCCATAATTGTATCCAAGTACCAAAGAGCCATCTCAGAAGCTTATGAAGATGGTTTTATGTATCCTTGCTTGGATGTTAAACCCAGCGTAATGAGAGAATGCTTCCAGATTAGTAAATTCCCACACATTTTACCCCTGTTCCTACCGGAACATAGGTCCTGTCATTTTTTCAATATATATGCTATTTCCTTGTGGATCAGGGACTGTATTTCCCCACTTAGGCTATGCTGAAACCTAATTCTAGTATAGAGACCATGAGGGGAGGTAGGGAGGATCCGGAGGAGGATAGGTGTCACC